CGGGTGCCTGGACCCCAGAGCCGCGCACCGTGTGTCCCAGCAGAGCGGGTCTGGCCAAGGGCGCTGCGAGGGGTGGGGCGCGGGTGCCGGCTGGGGAAGGTCCACCCCCTTGCCCAGGAATGGGGTGTGTGTCGTCGTGGGCCGGCGCGCCACGATCGGCGGCGCGCAGCCCGCGCTCTCCCCGTGGGGGGCGTGTGAGCGCACGGAGTTCTCCATGAACCAAAACCGAATTCTTCTCCTTGTAGTGGCGGAGGCGTGTACACGCGCTCTCGCTGTCGTACACACACTGCAGCACACGCCACCCAGTGTCACGGGCTGGGAGAAAGAAGGGTAGGCGCTGCCAGGAAGGGAACGGCCAAGGGAACGGCCAAGGAAACAACACCCCNCCGCCCCCTCGTTGGAGCGCCCCCAGCTGGGGGTACAAAACTGCCCCCTGCTCCTGGTGCGTCCCCAGGAGCTGCCCTGCCGGCTGGGGATCCGGGCCGCCGCCGGTGAGTGCCCCGGCGGCGAAGGCTGGAGAGCTGGGCGGGAAGCGCGAGCCGGGGCTGCAGGGCTGAGCTGGGGTGGCTTCCTGGGAGAACACTGATGTGTGTGTGTGTGTGTGTGTGTTTGTGTGTGTGCGCGTGTGCGTGCATGTGTGTGCATGTGTGTGTCTGGCTGAGGGGGAGGGGTGCTCGCCGCTAACTCAAACCAGGTTCCTTGTGTTTGTCTGATGAGATACTGCGGCCGGGGCTTTGGAAGTTTTCTTTTTCTCCCTGGGAGAATGGAGGGGAAATACAATGCTTTTTCTCTTCTCGGTCTCGGAACTTCTCCCCTGCCACCGCCCCCACCCACCCCTTTCCATCTGACCCGCTCTCGCATCCCTCGCTGGATCCACGGTGCCCATTCTTTGCGCAGGTAGTTGAATAGGGACAGAGTCCTTGGGGGCCCGTTCGCTGTGAAGACCCCTGCCCTCCCTAGAGGGGTTTGGGTGCTAGAGGGAGAATGTCCCTCATTCTTGCCCCAGCAGCCGTCTGGACCAGAGAAAGCTGTCCTCATCCGGGGAGTGTAAACAATGAGGGGCCCAGTTACAAGGGACCTCCTGCAATGCAACTTCTTTGCACAGTCTGGGTTTCTAATAACGCCCCAGCAGCCCCCGCCCCCTTTCTGAGGCTGGGGTGGAGGAGGGGACCACCAGCAGGATGGACTGAATTTTAAGAGAACAAAGAACAGGGTACAAAGAAAGGGGGAAGCTGAGCTGTGGGTTTCTCCCAGAAATAGGGAGTTTGCTGGACCAGAGTGAAGCCATGCTGGGACTCTAGGCAGCCCCAGGGCTCCCGAAGCAATACCGGGGCACCCCCCAGAGTCTGGTGAGGCTCCATCCCTGCTGGGTGGCTGGACCCTGCTGAGTGTGGGGTGCCGTGTGGGTTCCCACACTCATCAGCTGCCGTGTGTCTGACTGATTGGTGTGCTTTATCTCATTTGAACTTGGACTTTGTGCCTCCTGTTTTTGGGGACAGCTGCTTCTTTCCACAAGGGGGGGTTTACTGAACTGTGGGAGATACTGAGTGGGTCTTCCCAAGGATCCTGGTGATCGCTAGAGGGACTAGGAGGGGCCACTGTAATAAAGTGAGTCTGTTCTCAAGCAGTGGCGATTTGGGGCTGTCTCAGCCCCTCTGATGTCTCCCTGAGCTCAGAGGGTCCCTGCTCATTGAGGACTGATCACTTATGTATGCGTGTAGCTCAGGCCTCCACTTTGAGCGTTTCTTCCATTGCCTGCGGTGTCCACCTTTTTCTCGCTCTTTTCTTTCTTTTTTTTTTTTTAAAAAAAAGATGACCAGTAAGGGGATCTTAACCCTTGACTTGGTGTTGTCAGCACCACGCTCACCCAATGAGCAAATCAGCCATCCCTATATGGGATCTGACCCCGTGGCCTTGGTGTTATCAGCACCGCACTCTCCTGAGTGAGCCACGGGCCGGCCCCTTTCTCGCTCTTTTCTGACCTCTCTTCTGTTTCCCCCTCATCTCTCTCTTCATGCCCACCCACCAATGCTTGTCCCAATCCGATGTGTGTACCCAACCTACTCTGTCCAGCTGCCTCTTGGACTGGAGACCAGAGAGCAAGTCACGAGACAAAGAGGGTCTCATCTATAAAGCAGGGGTGGGGGGTGGGCCAGTGTTGACCTGGGAGAGGAGTCTTAGACCCTTCTTTTCGAGTCAGGATCTTTTCTAGCAGGGCCTCAGGTTGGCTCTGACTCAGGGATTCCAACCCCCTTCACCTCTGGAATGGTTGATTGATTTCCGTGGCCAGGACAGGCTGTGCCCAGGTATGGCAGGTAAGGTGTTCAACACTGGCCTCTCCCTTTCTCTCTCTCTCTCTTTTCCTTTTTCTCTCCCCCCTTCCACCCCTATTTGGATTGGGCTGGGAGTGGAGGGGTCAGAAGCCAGAGGGTCCAGGACTGCTCCTGGGCAGCAACTCCAGCTTTCTTTTTGGCTGGATGTTTCACAGACTCAGGAGAGCTTGTCCCTGTGGGGGGAGGGAGGAGCCTGTCCCTTGGAGGAGCAGAGAGCTGGGTTGACGCCAGAGATAAGGCCTGGGGGTGGAGGGAGAGGGTTGAGCAATCTTGCCCTGGAAGCTGACACAGCTGACCTGAGCTAAGCTTTGGTCTTCTGACCCATGTACTATAGGCTCTTCCTCAACCTTGGGAAAAAGAATCAAGTCCTGGATCCAGGGGACACTTTGAGGGGTCATCTGGCAGAGTGTCCTGAAGGCCAACTCCAGCCAGTTCTTCTGGGGTGCTCCAGGGAGGCCAAGCCCATGCCAGCCTTCTCTGGGCAGGGAACTGGACGGTAGTGCTGGGGAGAGCTCTCAAGTGTGACTGCACATCGCCCTCTGTGCTTGCACCGCATGGTGAAGGAAGCACAGCCGTTAGTTTCCCACATTCCCACTCGCGCCCCGTGCCCCCGAAGCTCCAGCTTCATACGTCTCCTCGAGGAGCCCTGGGCTTCCTTCCAGCTAACGTACATTGGAGTCTCCCCCAGGCACTGCCAGCTTGCAGCTCTGGGCTCCATGCCACGGTGGCAGTGCTGGCATCCAAAGCCCTCCTTTGCTGGGAACAGGGGAGCTGGTGGTCTCCACTCAGCTTCCTGAGCTGAGGAAGGGTCTCCTTTTTGGGGCTCAGGTGAAGGCAGTTTGGGGTGTGTTCATGAATGAAGGCTTACAGTTTTTACCCAGCCCGTAAGAAACCGCTCTGCACATGTGGTGTTTCTTCCTCCTTGCTTCATCCCAGGGGCTGAGGGCATCTGAAAAGCAACAGGGCCATGGCAGGGGAGATCCCTTGGCATCTCTGTGCTTAGCCACAGCTGCTCTGGTCACCAGCTTCTGCCTTGGC